AGGGCAGAACTGAAAAATGCAGTATTTGAAAGTGGCGCCCGAATTGCAGCATGGCGCCAGTTGTCCAAAATCCTACGGTACCAAAGGAGGGGTTTGGAAAAAGAGTGCCAGGCCGAAAACGGGGTACAGCCGAAACAGCAAAAGATAGACCAGGGATCGAGCCCTGGCGAAGTCCGTAACAGAATTGGTATAAAAAAAAAGCAAAAAAATACAAGAACCGACCATATAATAAGTGGCAGTTTGAGAATCCCTGGTATGCTCACTCTCTGTCTGCGCATCGAAAATAAATGCCCATAAACTAGCAGACAACCAAAAGACAACCAACTTTGTAAGTTCGTACCAGTTCACCAAAAGCGAGAAGCTGCACACATCATAGATGGACATCAACACATAATTGAGAACGATTTCTTCCCATTCCACCCAGCAACAGTATACTCCCACTAGGCCATTTTCACTCCGACCGTGATTGTGCTCAGATGCATCCAGCTCCAGATAAAATTGTGGTGAGAGACGTTATAGCTGAATTTGGGGCAACTCTAAGTCTAGGCACAGCAATAATGACCGTATGTTGTATTCGGGTGAAGAACCTAGTGTGAGTACGTCCTAAGAGTCACCTCAGCATGCGAATCGTGCGCTTGGAAGGAGTGGGTCTCACATTGTACTTGTGAATTGGTATTTGGTGAGCAGGACTTCTGACAGTATACACACCATAACCAACGAGGACGGACGAGCAGGGGTAAGCAGGACAGCAAATAAGGAAAGAAATAACGGAAACACACATAAGACAAGCATCACACCTGACACCAGAGAGTGGTTCAAAGATATAGCACAGAAACACACACGAGACAAGCATCACACCTGACACCAGCGAGCACAGGACTTCGTCCGGTCAGTCTTCAAGATCCACAAATGTGACTTCGAGCATTTTAAGCACGCGACATCCTTCGATTCCTCCGTCGGGATATACCCGCCATCCGCCTCGTCAAGCCCTTCATTGAACCCAGGCTCTGGCCGAAAATCCGGGCTCGCCTGTACAGAGACCAGCCCCCGAACCAATCACACATACGGCCACATCCGCAAGTTCCGAACCCCTATTTGTTTCATTGATAAGCAAACAGTGTCCATCAATCGGTCCAGACAGCCAGATCCCGACATCAGCCCACCACCCATTCCTAGGGTGTCGACCGTCCTCGAGTGCCAAGCGGAGCAACATAACGGACAGCCATCCAAACAAAGCAAGGAATATTTATTTGTCAGGAAACATTTCCATCAACTGTGCTGACGCAAGGTCTGTAAGATGAGAGTCATGGAACACAAGGAAACATCAGATGCTGGGGAAGAGGAGACGAGGAAATGACGAGAAGAGATGACAGGGGAGTAAAACAAAAGGGAGAGAAAGGAAGGAAGATCTGATTTTATCCTCAATCCTCACCAGCACAGCAGACTGGCGGCAAGGACAATAGTCACTGATGGTTGGATGTGGGTCTCTGACAATGACACCAGACAGGACGTAAGTGATTCAGCAGAGGCATGCCAGGTAGATGAGATGCATTCGTCCAATGTAGGAGAGGCACTCACGAGAACATAAGAGCTCGAGGAGTACTGATCTTTGGCTGATGGTGTTTTCCTTTTTCAATGACATACCGAACACTTGAGAGATTTTCAGACTAAGATCATGCAATCCTTAGGTGGGGCAACAAGGAAAAGCTCATGCCTCTAATCCTGTCATGGCCTCCACATGGTAGGAGCAGAGGCACAACAGCCACAGTGATAAATCTGACACTTAGCGATTTCCTGACGAAGCTCATGCAATCCTTCAGGAAAAAAGAAAGAAAAAGCTCATGCTTGCAATCCTGACATGGCCTCCACATGGTAGGAGCACAGGCACGACATCTACAGCTATAAAGGCACTGTAAGTTCAATCCTCCTCTATGCAACGACTATGCTACAAGGAAAAAAAAAAGAAAAATCTCATTCTTGCAATGCTGACATGGCCTGCACATGGTAGGACCAAAGGCACTACAGCGAAAGTTATGAAGGCCCTGTAAGTTCAATCCTCCTCTATGACATGGCAATGCTATGAGAGGATGCACAGATTGATACGGCCCAGACTGTCATCAGCAGTACAGAGACAAAGGCCATGCCATTAACATGCATTTGACAAAGGGACTGGTGATCGCATGCCAATTTGACAACAGCTGAATGATCACACAATCGCAATGAACACACAGCTTCCAAGCCTGATGTGAGTGGTGCTGACAGGGTCTGTGCTTGATCAAAACGTGATGACGAGAAAGGGTTCAGAGAGCGAGCGAGAGCATCCAAGGGCTGTTGAATCTGGTGCTCTCGCACATGCCGTCGTGGTGGTAGCTCCTCTGCTCTCTGCACTACAGCCATGACTGCTCAGACTCCTTCTCCAGCATCAGTAATGGTGCATTGCCCAGTATTGACAGAACGAACCTCGTACACGCAGTATATCCAACCAGTCGAGACACATGGAGAGACCCCCGCATGGCAGGTGTGATATGAGTGATATAGATGCTAACAATGTACCAACCAGAAGAGACACATGGCAGGGAGCTTCTGTTGTGGGTCTGTGTAGCTTGCAATGTACTAACCAGAAGAGACACATGGCACGGAGCTTCTGTTGTGGGTCGGTGTGGCAGCGCTCGTCTTTGCTTCCAGCCGGCCAGCAAAGAAGAACCTGGCACGTGAAACGACAAAAAAAACAGTTCGGCATATACACCACTTGCCGCACCGAGCCCAGCACCACATGCCACCGGTTTCGAATTTTATCCTCCCCATTTTCACGACGATTATGAAAACCTCCTGCACAGTGCCACAGACCACATTCTGTGGAAAGGCGGCACCGAGCTTAACTTGCCTCAGGAGTTTGCATCCCAGCAATCAGCAAAAGGTAGACACCTACCTGCAACATTCTGTATGTGGTCTAAATCTCACCAAACAATTGACCAATGATGGCAATGAACGAATTCAACGACACTGCGTTGAAAACACCACCAAACTCTGCACTCAATACCTCCCCACAGCTTATAAAAATTACTACACAGTAGATCATATGATATCGTGGACGAGCATTAACACCAAATCCCAAAGTAAGATATGCCAAAAGGCAATGCAGAGTGTACCTGTCGATTATGTTGCCGCGTTATCCTGTCTCTGATTTCCTGCTCTATCAATTGTGCATCATACTCTTTCTTTTTACCAGGGTCTAACAAAACCTGCACACATTAACAGACCATAAGAGAATAAACACAACACACGCCGACCAAGCGGAAGACCCCCAATTTCAGTTCCATCTGTGTTGCCTTCAATCACCAGCTTAAACAAACAATAGAATGCCGTAACACGCACAGTTTTCAGTAAGAGGAGTTTCAGTGGGCAAAGATTCTGAGTTTGCCTGCGATCGGATTCAGATGTCTGAGACTTCTTTCAAAATAGGCGGTCTCTTATGAACCTGCGTCCGTTCCCATACATCATGGGCTGCCCGAGTGCTTCCTGTACTCACCTGTCCGTTTGCACTTTGATATGCACCTCGTGGAAGTGCTACCTGAAAATGCTTAACTTGAAGAGATAGCTTGGTAGGTTGCCTACGACAAACATGTATGTGGATTAAACTAGATTGCCTTTTCTTTTCAGGGGCCGGAGCGGTGGGAAGGCATTTCCCAATTTATGTGTGACATTCCTTCTGCAGGGGCCATGCTACCATTCCCTGTATAATTCTAATCTGACAGATGGCCAGAAGGCCATGTCCATAGATTCTTTTATTTTTCAATCAACATCGGACTATTTCTTGATTCATGCATGTCATCCTTGTGCAGGGGCCGTGCTAAGCTTCCCTGTATCATTCCAATTTTAACGGATGTCCCAAAAGGACATGTATTTTCTTGTCATGACAAATTCATAAATCCAGTTAAAATCCTGAAATTTCATTTGGTTTTGAAATTGGGAAGCTTACCTGAGAGCTCTGACTGGGCTCCAGGTCTGGAATTTGGAAACCTGGAGGTGTTCCAGTGAATCTCGGCCTAGCATATAAACCTACTACAGATGTTTGACAAAAGTAAAACGGACAAGAACATGCACAAGCTTGCAAGGATCGACAGTGAAAGAAGAAGCCCGGGCCGCCATGAAAATCGATCGTGAACTTCGCCATTAGTAGTCAATGTTCCGCTTTGCCATGACGTCGGATTGTGAATCTCCTTGCTGATAACTGAGGTTGCTCATACTTTATTAGCTCCTCTCTCTCTCTCTCTCTCTCTCTCTCTCTCTCTCTCTCTCTCTCTCTCTCTCTCTCTCAACGTCTTATTACATTACAATCTATTTAGATGATTCAGTTTTTTTCATAGTTGCGGCGCACCAGTGCGCAGTGCGGTGTGCACTGCGCTGTGTGTTGGAACGACAGCGCGCGCACTGTGCGCCGTGCGGTGTCCGCAGTACGCAGTGCTGTCCGCTGTGCGCGGTGTGTGCGCTGAGGGAGTCGCGAACTG